CAGGCAGTGACCCTGGACTAGCTGGCTTTGGTACGTTCCAGGCTGTGCAGGGAGAGTGGCTCATACTAACTCATCAGCGGAGTACTGTCGGAGTCGTGCTGGCAGGTCCCTCATTGCCAATGCCAGGGCTGTGGAGGTGAAGCCGTCGATGGCAAACTTCATCATCTTTCTCGTCCTCCTTGTCCTTCCTTGCGCAGCAGCCAGCTCTTGTCAGCTACAGGTCGTGGGGCCTTTGCTTCTTCCAGATCTTAAACCACAGGTCTGTTCGCGTAGAGCTGTCAACCCTTAGGACACCCGAGGGCCCTTGCGTTGCCTTGCTCCTCCTTTTCTGTTCTCTCTAGTCTCGACTCTCGTCGTTCCTCACTGTTCCCTCCTCCCTTCCCCTTTGTCCCGCCTCCCTGCCCCATTCCCTCCTTGCCCTCCACCACCCACCTTGTCTTCTGGTGATCGCGGAGAGGTCGTAGGGGTGCGGGGGTGGCAGCACGGGAATTCCCCCCCTGCATGTGCACGCAAGAGCGAGGGCGAGCTCGAGCTGCCTTGCGGGGGCTGCCGGGCTCGAGCGCCAATGTAGACACGCCCGCGGCGTGCCCCGACGGCTTTCTTGTCAGCGCAAACAGCTCGCCGCAGGTGCGACTGTTTCGATACATTGTGTATGGGTCGCAGGCGTGTGTCGCGGGTGGGTCGCTGGGTGGGTCGCGGAGCGGCTCGCAGGCGGGCCGCGGGAGTGTCGCGGGTGGATCGGTGGGTGGATCGCGGGGCGGGTCACGGGTGGCTCGCGGAGTGGATGACTGGGTGGCGGGGCGACGACGATGACAACAATACAACATGACCCGGCACCTTCGAACGCCACTTCAGGATGCAAAAGTTCCCGAACAGCTCGGTAATAGCTCAGTGGTAGAAGCCAACCACTTGGGCATGGGAAGCTACATTTCCAGGGTTGCTTGTCAGGCATCCCCACAGCGGCTTCGTTCCTAGAGCTCCCCTTAAGAGCCAAACGGCGAGGCTAGAAAAGGAACGCGGCGGTTGTTTGGGGGACATTTGCAAGACAGCATCCGCGCATGTTCCGGCGGTTGGTGCTCGGATTGACTTTGTGTTTGGGCACTATTCTGTAGCTGCTTCTGACAAGCCCGCCACCGTGCTGGTGCAGCAGCGCAGCGTGAAGGAGGCTGAGACAAAGATCCTCTGCATGTCAGCGCGTGGTCTGAACTCGACTGGGTCTTAAACTCGGTCTCGTTTCCTCGACTTAAGAGTCGAATGACGAGCTTCTCGCGGGCCTCCTGGACGGCCTCTTCGGGGCCCCGTGGGGGGGCTCCTGGAGGCCTCTCGGGCCGTCTTGGGGCTCTCTGGGCCCGTCTGACGCCTTCGGAGGCCGTCTTGGGGGCCTCTCTGGGCCGCCTTGGGGTCATCTTGGGGCGTTTTCAGGCCGCCATGGAGGTGTATAGAGTAGTCTGGAGGTTCTCTTGGGATTTCTTGAGGCAATCATGGGGCCTTCTTGGGGCCCTCTTGGGCAGCCTTAGAGCCTCTCGTGGGCCGCCTTTGGCTTTCAGAAGCCGGAGAAGGCCAGTATACGAAACAAATAAATAATGTGAAGAAAATCATTAATTCTTGGCTCTCGAAGGTCCGTGGGGTTGTGGGAAACAAGTTTGCCGCCCCAGATGACCTTCTGATGGCCCTGGTTCCCGAAAACAGGACACTAGAGGCCGAAGTGCAGGAGCAGCTGCCCGTTACGTTACAACTTCGAGGATTTGTTATTGGTTCTGCCCTGCAAATTGCGGTCTTTCCTACCCCCCGACACGCATTCGACATGGATTCGACATGGATGGCTGGCGAGATGTGACAGGAACGAGGTTCTCCGAAGATGCAGCGTGATCGCCCGGATCGAGCAGGAGGTATTTTAGTTGTGCGTTTGGGACATTTTAGTGGTGCGTCACCGCTCACCAGGGGCCCTCCTGGCATTGCGGGGCGAGCGAAGGTTCGATTCTCGTTCTTCGTGCTCGAACCTCGTTCCAGGGGCTCCTTGTTTCCTCACCCCGTCCTTTCGTCCCTCCCTCTTGGTGGTCGTCGTCCTCCTCCTCCCTCTCCCGCTTCACGCCTTCACAAGGTGGCGGTGCCAGTGACAAGCCGAGGGTGTCCAAGTTTGTCTCATCGGATTGCGCTGCCGCGATAACACAACATGTGAGATCTTGTCTTGCACCCGACGCGGGTCCGACGCGGACTCGAGGTAATTCCGACGCGGATTTGACACGGGTTCGACACGGAGAGCTGGCGCGATGGGACAGACGAGGTCCCCCAAAGATGAAATGTGGTGCGTTTGGGACAGTTATTAGTGCGCCACCGCTCACCATGGGCCCTCCGTGCACTTCGTGTCGGACAAAAGTTCGAACTCCCTTTGGCGGGCTCCTAGTTTCCTCACCCCGTCCCTCCCTCTTCGTGGCCGTCGTCGTCGTCGTCCTCCTCCTCCTCTTCATCATCCTCTTGCTTCTCGTTGTCCTCCTCATCCTCTTCCTCCTTCCTCCTTCTCCTCCAGGCGGGCCGCAGTTCTGGCCGGCCGTGCTTGATGGCCGGGAGCCCGCGCACTCCCCTATCGCCTCTCAAACGAGGCGGACCCGACAGGAGCGACGCTCGAACGGCGGGCGCTTCTATGGGGAGGGGGTGCCCCGGCCAGGGCCTATACACCACAGATGCATGGGTGGCTCCAGGCGACGGCGGCGGCGGAGGAACCGGCCGCGAGCTCGTCGCACTCCTTGGCGCCGCGGCAGTTCGCGCCCGACCCCAGCGGCGCGGCCGGCTGGGCGTCGCCAGCCGCCGCCGCCAGGCTCCACCCCGCTCGGCCGTGGCAGCCCGCGTTCCGCGCCAGCGCAGGACGAACAGCAGCAGCAGCGCCAGGCCCGTGCCTCGCGCCCAGCGGCCCGTCTGCGCAGCAGCAGCAGCAGCAGCAGCAGCAGCAGCAGCAGCAGCAGCGGCGGCAGCAGCGGCGGCAACAGACCCGCGCCCGCGCCGGCCCCGCGCCTGCGCGGCAGCAGCAGGCGGGCGTCGCCCCGGGGCCGCGCCCAGCTGCTCTGCAGCTCCTTCCTCTCGGGGGGTCTGCGCCGCGGCCCCTGCAGGCGGCTTCTGGCGCCCGCGCGGCGGCTGCCCGCCGCGACCGGGCCGCCGCGTGGCCGCGGGGGCTGCGTGGCCGCGGGGTGCCGCTGCAGCACGCTGCCGAGGCTTCCGGCTGCCGGGCAGTTGCGGAGCGGGCCGCGCTCCCTGCGGGCGCGAGCTGCCGCACGAGGGCCGCCGCGTCGTCGCCGAATCTCGCATGGCTCTCGGCGCCGAGAGGGATCACCAGCGCGCATGGATAGCGAGCTCGCTGCCGGTTCCTGTCGCGGCGACAACCCGCCTCTGACCCCGCGGCCCCGTTTGCCAGGGCGGCCGCGACGCCTGGTGCGTGGACCACCAGATCCATCCGGGCTGTAGGGCTTTGCGGCGAGGCGTTGGGCAGCAAGACTTCGCTGTGCACCGCGCATCCTTTTCTTTTTTGCACTGCTGCGCCAGCGCCGCGCAGCATGCGTCGTGCTGGCGGCCGGGCCCCCCGCCGACCATGCGGCGCCGAGCGTGCCAGCCCTTCGGGTCCAGCAGCGCACCGCAGACGCCGCTCTGTCTAGTACGCCCACCCCAAGATCTGTTCAGAATAACTTGTGGTTTGCACGGGATGTTCTTAGACTATGTCTGGCTGAGACCGTCTTGCTTCTTGTTTAGCACGTCGCCTTTATGCTCTACCTAGTATCATTCTTGTTGTTCCTCGGATTTCTCTGGTGTTTCGAATGTTTTGTGGTAGGCAAATCGGAATGCTAGATTGGTCGGTCCCTGCTCGAATCTGGGCGCCGGTGTTGGCAGATCCCAGAATAGAACGGCAGGCATAGGTTCAGCCGAACCCCGCCGCGATGCCGAATGGCGTGTCGGTAAGCAAGGCGGGGGCACGCAAGCACGGGTGCCTGCAGCCGGCAGCTTGACCGGATGCCTTCAGCTGGGCGCAGGGCCGCGGCCGCCTCGGGGCGCTCGCGTGCCGCCGAGCCAGCGACTCGGCGAGCAGCCGCGGCAGGTGGGGCCGCAGCCAGGGAGTGCCGCGTTGCTGCCAGGGCCTCGTCGCCCACTTGAGTGGTCGCGTTCTCCTTCTTCTCCTCCTCCTCCTCCTCCTCCTCCTCCTCCTCCTCCTCCTCCTCCTCATCCTCCTCCTCCTCCTCTCCCCTCCTCCTCCTCCTCCTCCTCTTCGTCCTCCTCCTCGTCCTCCTCCTCCGGCTCCACGCTTCACAGGCTGGGCGCTGCAGGTGACGAGGCGTGGGTGTCCAAGCTTGCTTCATCGGGCTGCGCCGCCGTGCATAAGTTCACCGCTGGGACCGCCGGCCGCCTCCCCGCCGGAGACCTGAGCCTCCAAGGGCCGCCTACGGTCCGATTCGGCTCGCTGGTTGGGGCCGCGGCTCCGATTCGGTTCGACTCCGCCCCGTTCACCTTCCTCCGCCGAGGGCCAGCTGGTGCCGTGCGCGGCCCTCCAGTTTCGGCCTGGGGCGGGGCGACTCGCCGGAGATCCGACCCGCTTCCGATCCGACCTGGTGTCGCGATTCGATCCACATCGGGTAGGGGATCGACTACATAATGTATGTACCCCCCGACTTGATCAGTTCGTCGAATCGACGAAACAGGCGTGCAAGGTTCGTAGATCTGCAAACAGTGTGCGCACGTGCTCGTGGACTCGGTGAGAAAATACAATTTTGGGGCAAATCCAGTCTCGAGGAGGCGGAGGAGGAGGAGCCGGAGGAGGCGAAGGAGGAGGAGGAGGAGGAGGAGGAGGAGGAGGAGAAGGAGGCAGAGGAGACGGAGGGGGAGGTGGAGGGAGGAGCAGGAGGAGTAGGAGGAGGAGGAGGACGAGGAGGAGGAGGAGGAGGCAGAGGAGAAGGAGGAGGAGGAGGAGATGGAGGGAGAAGGAGTAGTCAGGCGATCCCCTACTCGAACCCAGCTCATCCAGGAGGCCTCCGGCTCAGGCCCGCCTCCTGCGCCGCCGCCGCGCGCGGCCCCCGCGCGCCGATCGGCCCCGCCCGCTCGGGGGGGGAGGCCGCGATGGGCTGCGCGGGGTCGGCGAGCGGCGCGGGCAAGGACTTCGCGCGGGCGCGGCCGCGCGCGTGAACGGCCCATGTCGATGTCGATGGCGATTTCGACGTCGTTGGCGATTGGTCGATGTCGCGGGGTCGGTCGATGTCGTTGGCGATTGGTCGATGTCGATGGGGATTGGCGATTGGCGATTGGCGATTGGCGGTTGGTCGATGTCGTTGGCGATGGGTCGATGGCAATTTCGATGTCGATGGCGATTTCGATGCCGCGGGGTCGGCCCATTTCGATGTCGATGTCGTTGACGACTGGTCTTCGCGCGGCTGGTTTTTGTGCGGCGCCTCCTGGGCGCCCGCGTCGGAGGCATCGCCCGCTGGCAAAGGCCGAGGCCACCCGCACGCAGCACGCAGTCCGCAGCGCGGGGGGGACGGCAGCGTTCGCGTGCACGGCAGCTTCGGTCGGGCACATGTTCTCCTGCAGGTGGAGCTCGGGCGAACAGTGCAAGCTACATTTTTTTTTGGAGGGGGGGCGGGGGCATGTGTTCTCCTGCAGGTGGAGCTTGGGCGAAACATGCAAGGTGCATTCGTTTTTCCCCACATCCTGAGTGGGGTTCTTGTTCCCCACATCCTGAGTGGGGTACTTGTTTTCCCAGAACACCCTCTCCTTCCCACCCACCTCCCGCTCCATCTTCCATACAGCACAATATTATTCCTACCACACACACCATACCATACCATAGTTCCTACCACACCTACCATACCATACCATACCATACCATACCATACCATACCATACCATACCATACCACACCATACGTACCATACCGTACCATACCATACCATGGCGTACCATAGCATACCATACCATATCACACCAATGCCACACCGTACCGTACCATACCATACCATACCTCCAGTACCATACCATACCATATCATACCATACCGTACCATACCATACCTACGAGGAGGGTATCGGAAAACCATACTATTTACATGGTTTCGTGCCCCTCCCACCCTTCCAGGGAGGCCCCGCCTGAGCGAGGAGGGTATCGGAAAACCATACTATTTACATGGTTTCGTGCCCCTCCCACACCTCCAGGGAGGCCCCGCCTGAGCGAGGAGGGTATCGGAAAACCATACTATTTACATGGTTTCGTGCCCCTCCCACCCCTCCAGGGAGGCCCCGCCTGAGCGAGGAGGGTATCGGAATACCATACTATTTACATGGTTTCGTGCCCCTCCCACCCCTCCAGGGAGGCCCCGCCTGAGCGAGGAGGGTATCGGAATACCATACTATTTACATGGTTTCGTGCCCCTCCCACCCCTCCAGGGAGGCCCCGCCTGAGCGAGGAGGGTATCGGAATACCATACTATTTACATGGTTCCGTGCCCCTCCCACACCTCCAGGGAGGCCCCGCCTGAGCGAGGAGGGTATCGGAATACCATACTATTTACATGGTTTCGTGCCCCTCCCACCCCTCCAGGGAGGCCCCGCCTGAGCGAGGAGGGTATCGGAATACCATACTATTTACATGGTTTCGTGCCCCTCCCACCCCTCCAGGGAGGCCCCGCCTGAGCGAGGAGGGTATCGGCAAACCATACTATTTACATGGTTTCGTGCCCCTCCCACCCCTCCAGGGAGGCCCCGCCTGAGCGAGGAGGGTATCGGAAACCATACTATTTACATGGTTTCGTGCCCCTCCCACCCCTCCAGGGAGGCCCCGCCTGAGCGAGGAGGGTATCGGAAAACCATACTATTTACATGGTTTCGTGCCCCTCCCACCCCTCCAGGGAGGCCCCGCCTGAGCGAGGAGGGTATCGGACAACCATACTATTTACATGGTTTCGTGCCCCTCCCACCCCTCCAGAGAGGCCCCGCCTGAGCGAGGAGGGTATCGGAAAACCATACTATTTACACGGTTTCGTGCCCCTCCCACCCCTTCAGGGAGGCCCCGCCTGAGCGAGGAAACCACCAAACATTACTCTTCGCCAGGTTTCGTAGCCCTCCCCCCATCCAGCGGGGCCCCGCCAACGCGAGGAGGGCATCAAGAAAATGGGTCCCACGAAACCGTTAATCTGTTTATGTGGGGAACTCCGTTAGCATAATTTTCCCAGAACACCCTCTCCTTCCCACCCACCTCCCGCTCCATCTTCCATACAGCACAATATTATTCCTACCACACACACCATACCATACCATAGTTCCTACCACACATACCATACCATACCATACCATACCATACCACACCATACGTACCATACCGTACCATACCATACCATGGCGTACCATAGCATACCATACCATATCACACCAATGCCACACCGTACCATACCATACCATACCTCCAGTACCATACCATACCATATCATACCATACCGTACCATACCATACCTACGAGGAGGGTAGCGGAAAACCATACGATTTACATGGTTTCGTGCCCCTCCCACCCTTCCAGGGAGGCCCCGCCTGAGCGAGGAGGGTATCCGAAAACCATACTATTTACATGGTTTCGTGCCCCTCCCACACCTCCAGGGAGGCCCCGCCTGAGCGAGGAGGGTATCCGAAAACCATACTATTTACATGGTTTCGTGCCCCTCCCACCTCTCCAGGGAGGCCCCGCCTGAGCGAGGAGGGTATCGAAAACCATACTATTTACATGGTTTCGTGCCCCTCCCACCCCTGCAGGGAGGCCCCGCCTGAGCGAGGAGGGTATCGGAAAACCATACTATTTACATGGTTTCGTGCCCCTCCCACCCCTCCAGGGAGGCCCCGCCTGAGCGAGGAGGGTATCGGAAAACCATACTATTTACATGGTTTCGTGCCCCTCCCACCTCTCCAGGGAGGCCCCGCCTGAGCGAGGAGGGTATCCGAAAACCATACTATTTACATGGTTTCGTGCCCCTCCCAACCCTCCAGGGAGGCCCCGCCTGAGCGAGGAGGGTATCCGAAAACCATACTATTTACATGGTTTCGTGCCCCATCCCACCTCTCCAGGGGGTATTTACATGGTTTCGTGCCCCTCCCACACGTCCAGGGAGGCCCGCCTGAGCGAGGATGGTATCCGAAAACCATACTATTTACATGGTTTCGTGCCCCTCCCACCTCTCCAGGGAGGCCCCGCCTGAGCGAGGAGGGTATCCGAAAACCATACTATTTACATGGTTTCGTGCCCCTCCCACCCCTGCAGGGAGGCCCCGCCTGAGCGAGGAGGGTATCGGGAAACCATACTATTTACATGGTTTCGTGCCCCTCCCACCCTCCAGGGAGGCCCCGCCTGAGCGAGGAGGGTATCCGAAAACCATACTATTTACATGGTTTCGTGCCCCTCCCACCCCTGCAGGGAGGCCCCGCCTGAGCGAGGAGGGTATCGGAAAACCATACTATTTACATGGTTTCGTGCCCCTCCCACCCCTCCAGGGAGGCCCCGCCTGAGCGAGGAGGGTATCGGAAAACCATACTATTTACATGGTTTCGTGCCCCTCCCACACCTCCAGGGAGGCCCCGCCTGAGCGAGGAGGGTATCGGAAAACCATACTATTTACATGGTTTCGTGCACCTCCCACCTCTCCAGGGAGGCCCCGCCTGAGCGAGGAGGGTATCCGAAAACCATACTATTTACATGGTTTCGTGCCCCTCCCACCCCTCCAGGGAGGCCCCGCCTGAGCGAGGAGGGTATCCGAAAACAATACTATTTACATGGTTTCGTGCCCCTCCCACCCCTCCCAACCGCTCTTGGCCGATCAGTGTCTGCGTTCGAATTGTAGTTACCAGACACCTCGGCAAGTGCTTTCGTCTAGCGAACTCGTGTCGCCCACCCTCTTGTATAACCTCGACTGGACGAGGGAAATGAGACCACTCAGACCAACCTCACGAATCGGACCTCGCGAGGAAAATGAGACCACTCAAACCAACCTCCCGCTGCTGCTCCTGCTGCGGTTCCTGCTGCTGCTCTTCGCCATCATCCATCTTATCCTCTTCCTCCTCCTCCTCGTCCTTCTCCTCCCCCTCTTCCTCCTCCTCCTCCTCTTCCTGGAGGGTATCGGAAAACATGCTGTTTACACGGTTTCGTGTCCCCCCTCCACTCCTCCAGAGAGGCCGCGCTTGAACGAGGAGGGTCGCGGAAAGCATTACTCTTCGCCAGGTTTCGTAGCCCTCCCCCCTTCCAGCGGGGCCCCGCCAGAGCGAGGAGGGCATCAAGAAAATGGGTCCCACGAAACCGTTAATTTCTTTATGTGGGGAACTCCGTTAGCATATTTTTTTTTGGGGGGGGGAGGATTGCTGCTCCGGCTCCACGCCCTGGCTGCCTGAGAATGCAGAGCTCTGCGGCGGCAAGCTGTGCAGTCCTCGCACCTGCGGGGCGCGAGGAGCACCTCGCAGGCCCGCCTGGCCCTCCAAGGAAGGTGTCCCTGGGCGGGGGCCAAAGCAACAGCAGCAGCCAGAACGCTCCCGCCTCCTCCTCCTCCTCCTCCTCCTCCTCCTCCTCCTCCTCCTCCCCCTCCTCCTCCTCCTCCTCCTCCTCCTCCTCCTCCTCCTGAGCCAAAATCGATGTTGATTGTGATTCTGATTTCGGCATCGATCTCCGCCGGCGTGCCCGGGGCCACCCCGGGGCCACGGGTTCGGAATCCTGCCGGCGGGGCAGACCGTGGCGGGCGGGCGGGCCGCGACGGGCAGTCGTCAGCCGACTGCGGGCCGGGGCCGCCCGTGGCCGCCAGCCGCCCGCGGTCGCCGGCCGACCGCGGGCGGAGCGCGGCGGGCGGGCGGGCCGCGACGGGCGGGCGGCGGCGCGCGGCGGCGGGCGGGCAGGCCTGCCCTCTTCACCGCGGGTGGGCGGGCTGGGACGCCGCCGCCGCCCGCCGCCGCCGCCGCCGACGACGCCGACGCTGACGACGACGACGACGCTGCCGGCGACGACGCCGACGACGACGACGTCGCCGACGATGGCGGCGGCGCCAGTGGCGGCGGCGGCGGCGGCGGCTGCAGCGGCGGCGGTGGGGACGACGACGACGACGACGACGACGACGACGACGACGGCGACCACAGCTGCCG